CAAATACAACGTGCCACACTGGCTCCCGCTCGCCTACGCGGACCTCGTGAAGCGCCCCGAGCCGCTCTCTGATAACGAGGCCGAGATCCTCGGGCTGAGAACGGCCGTCCGCGTCGCGCGCGCCCGGGAAGCCACGCGCGAGCGAAAATACGTCACGTGGACACAGGGCAGCTACTACCCGTTCGAGAAGACGTACACCTTCGACGAGAAGGGCGTCAGGCAGGTCGTCAGCGACGTCTGGCCGGAGTGTGCGGGTTATGTGTCTAGCGAGCCGCCCGTCGGCTGTGCACAGCAGCCTGCACCACCGATCCCTTCCAGCCTCGTACTGCCTTCTGGCGCTCCTCGCTTTGTGTTCCAGTTTTGAATGCTGAGGGATCAGATGTTATACTCCTTACAGCATGCTCCTTATACCCCATATGTCGGACGGTGCTGTTCGCATCATGTAATTGTGGAAAAAGGTTGTGAGCATGCTATGTCATTTACACTTCTGCCCCGCTCGGCACCGTCTCCGATGTGGCGTCTTTCAGCCACAAAATTCTCTGCCCGACCTCGTGACGACTCTTTGCCACAACCATCTTCCGCAAACTATTCGGACTCATCACGCCCGACAAGAAACAAATACCATGACATCAGCTTGGTGCGTTGCCAGCGGGTCCGGACCACTCTCCGTTACATGCGCCCTCGATGGCCGAGTTCTTTCGGCCGCGCATGCATGTTCAAGGGCGTCTCTTTATGTAGTGCTATAGGCCCACGGACCGTTTGTGGCTTCTCAAAAATTAGAAGCAACGAAAGGATCAAGCCTCCGTCCCTCCAACGAATGTGCAGAGCTGACTAGACTCCGGAGAGTGCAATCGGACCAGGGCAGCACAAGTTTGAGCTACCAGTGGGATGTCAGGCATTTATATGCGGGAATCAAGTGATATGCGCGGCGTCAATGTGGAATAGTCGAGTGATGAGTATGTGCCGTCAGGTTCGTCTTCCCAGAAGAGGTCCAACACTAAAACCCCCACTTTGGCTGGTTTGTGTCCAGGCACTAGCTTACTTGTATTTGTATCCACATCACAGATTCATGCCCACAAAAACAACCCCTCAAAAGTCCTAAATTTGCCGCGCCACGCTTTGCACGCATTGGGGATCCCTCATAGGCACATTGGGCAGTCAAATATAATGCATTATAATGCACCGTCGAGCATTTATAATGCGTTATAATGCGATTTTTGTCGTGGGCGTAGCCCCGGCCTCCTATTATTTTTCCATTTTCTACGATTTTCTACAATTTACCCTACGTTTGTACGGCCCTCCAAACGTCGTCGGTGCATTGGCGCCAGTTTACAAGTTCTAGCCACGCGCTAACACCTTGAGAACGCATCACCAACAAGCACGCATCAGTGCATCAGACGTGCCCATATCACTGCCGCCTCGTCACCACATAGCACTTCCTCGGTAACAGCCGCACTCCGACCTCCACCGGACATCTGATCTCCGTCAGCCCGACAACATCATACACTATGACACGCCGGCCCCGTTTATCCCCGAGTCCGATCGGCAACGGACATCTTATCCCCATTGGCCCGACAACATCATACGCTATGACACACTGGCCCTCGCTTCCCCGCCAAAAGACCCCTAGACACTAGCAGCCGCCGTAGCACAGTCGCTTATATAACGCCTGGTCCGTGCACAGCCTGACTAGTATATAAGGAGTCCCTTTGTCGCTACCTAGCCCCCATCTCAACCTCTTGGTTAATTGGGCTAGGTAAGCCTTTGTTTGTACTTTAGTATAATCACTAATACACTTGGTTAATTGGGCTAGCTGAATAAGCTAACACATAGTCGCCAGACCTCATCGGCGCCGCCTTCTGATTAGATCCATGCAGTATCCCTTGTGGTGTGTCGACGCAAGTCCACATCAATTTTTAGTGATTTTTGAGTTTATAATGCAAGATAACGGACCAGATCACACTATATTGCATTTTAATGCAATATAATCTCTGTCCCTTTTTGCCGGTGCTTTTGCTACAAAAAGCCTGGTACATCAGGAAACAGGACTTGGGCCCATAGTGCTCCAAAATGCTCTTGTAGCACTCTGTAGCACTGTGGACCTAAGTCTTTTTCCTGATGTAAGAACAGGCTTGTTCCACAGACTTTGCGATGGGTCGTACTTGCAGCTGTTCTGACTAGCTTTAAGTCATGTCTTTTGCCAGTAATACCTGTTATCCCAAACTTTCTATACAGACACATAAACAATCACTGGGCTTACACTTTTCCACCAATTTGTTGTCTCCATTTGGCATCAGCTGACTAGAACTCCAGATTATGATATGCTCCTGTCTTCTGATGCGCAGCCGTGCCTAGAATGGAATCCGAGAGCATCCCTCCGAGGGTTTGCTTATTTGTTCCTGGCATGGTGTCCACTTCCCTGTTTACCAGCGACCGCAGAATTTTTGAGCATCAATTCTAAAAACTCTCTGGGTTGTCTATCATTCTTGCTATTCACTCTATCCATAGTGTATGCCTGCAAGTACCGTTTACTGTTAGCTGTGCACTGGACTCATGCGGTCGACTTTGAGCAACATTAACATACCCCACACTGGCCACAAATTTTTGGATGCCAAGCTCATTTTGCTGGCTTCCATTGGCTTCGGGCTGACATGCCAACCCCACCAGCTTGATCTTTCGGTATAATGTGCTCCATTCCACAAGCGCTGTGGCTGCTCATTCTGTCCTTTCACTGTGCTTATGTGATAGGCCCAAAGCCTGTGCTGATAGACGACTGGCTAAGTTTCCCATAATTCAGTGTGCAGAGAATAATGGCCTGCCTTCGATGGTACAGTTCAAGAGTTTCAGTTCGGCAGCCCAGACATGGGAACTTATTAAGTTACACCGGACTAGCCACCTAGGAGTGCCCAAGAGCAGCTAAGACACACTGAAGAATTTTTGAAAAGCCCAGAAAATGGCACAAGCAGGAATCAAACCTGCAGCCCGAAAGTAACCACAGCGCGCTATACCACTAAGGCATAAGACCTTGCAAATATGAGCTTGGATTTGTCCTATAATACCACTTTTCTACCTCAAAGTCTTAGCTGTAATATTGTAGCCAATTATCAGGTATTAAAGCATTGGAATGTAATTGTACAAAGGTATATTCTAATGGCATGGCTAAGACATTGATGTGGCTAAGACACCAGTGTGGCTAAGACATTGAGTCATTAAATATTTGCTATTGATTCTGCTTATTGTACAAATGTATATTCTGATGGTGTGGCTAAGACACTGACATGGCTAAGACA